GGAAAATACTTGGAAGGCGAAAAAATAGTATGGCAGAGAGGTTTTTTACCTGTACTGATCTAAAAATGCTCCGATTGTAAATTCTCTTTTAATGATATATCTTTTCTTCAATATTTAATAAGGGAAAATTAAATTGGCGATGAAGGTGCATCAGGCTTAGGTTCTGCTTTAGCAAATTGCATTAATCTCTCAAATTTGACACTTGACCTTTGGTAAAAACAGTTTATTTGTTTTGGATTGTGATATTTTTAATTATAAAAACTAATTAAAAATCTTTTTCTTTTTATTGTGCTTGCTTTTTTTTATTCTTTCTTTATTAATTTAGCTCATCATTTTATTTTCAACTTTTACTTTTATTATTTATTTCTTATTATTTCATATTTTTTCTTCATTTTTTCCTTCTAATTAACTATTTAATGATATATCTTTTCTTCAATATTTAAAAAGGGTAAATTAAATTGGTGCAATTGGTGCATCAGGCTTAGGTTCTGCTTTAGCAAATTGCATTAATCTCTCAAATTTGACACTTTACCTTTAGTAAAAACAGTTTATTTCTTTTGGATTGTGATATTTTTAATTATAAAAACTAATTAAAAACAATAAAGCTCTTTTTTCTTTTTCTTTTTATTGTGCTTGCTTTTTTTTGTTCTTTCTTTGTTAATTTAGCTCATCATTTTATTTTCAACTTTTACTTTTATTATTTATTTCTTATTATTTCATATTTTTTCTTCATTTTTTCCTTCTAATTAACTATTTAATTATATATTTTTTCTTCAATATTTAAAAAGTGGAAATTAAATTGGTGCAATTGGTGCATCAGGCTTAGGTTCTGCTTTAGCAAATTGCATTAATCTCTCAAATTTGACACTTTAGCTTGGGTAAAAACAGTTTATTTGTTTTGGATTATGATATTTTAAATTATAAAAACTAACTAAAAACAATAAAGCTCTTTGAATTTATTTGATAGCTTTATTTATTTTATTTTATTATCTTTTTTATTCCACTAAAATTATTTTATTTATTAATTTAAAGAATAATTTTTAATTTAAAAGTTTATTCTATTTTGATATTTATTTTAAAAGCTATTATAAAAGTTTTAACCCAATGTATCAATCATAAAAGCTCATATTATTAAGCAAGATTCTTAAATCAAAAAGATTAGTTATCTTAGATTTCTAATGATAAAAAATTGCTGAAAAAAGAATGAATAAATAAATATAAAATGTTTGAATAGTATTATATATTTAATTATATAATATTTTGAAAAAGTCTTTTCAACCTAAAATATAAATAGATAGATAGATTTTATTATTGATTTTATATTTATAAATATCATTCATATTTTTGTAAGTAAATAAATTATTTATAAAAAATAAAAAATTAAATCCTCATAAGCAAACCCTCTGGTTTCTCCAAAAATGATCAAATAATTTGAAACTTTTAGTGTTATATTTCATTTTATTAAATTATATAAATGCCAAACTTTTATATGTCAGTTATATTTTAATCTTAAATATTATCCATCAATCATATTACTATCCTTTTTTTATTTATCATGATTAATTAGATGTCATGATTTAAATAATACCTCAGGGAGAAATCAAGTTTTACTTTTTATTTTAACTTTTGTTGTTGGTATTAATGTTCTTTTTTTATTTCTCAAATTTTTAATTTATCTTATGATCATTTTTTTCATTTTATATTTTTTAAAATAATAAAATAATTGTTTTTTAAATTATCATTTATTAATTCAGACAATACAAATTTATGTTTAGAATAAATTAATGAATTTAAAAGTCGTTAATGTTGAATTTGGCTTTTCATAACTTATTTCATATCAAGAATTTATGTAATTTTTTTTTAATGTGGTATTATAAATTTTAAAATGCTTATTTGTTTGATTTTTATTATAAAATGTTCTCTAAATATTATAGAAAAATGCAAATCGGAGGTTTGGAGATTTTGCTTTATCTTATCTATGGGTACTTTTGAAACAAATATGTACACATTAGAAAAAAATGCATGTGAAAATGCTGAAAATGATCTATGTTTTTGGAGTCAATCATTAATTTTTTTTTTGATATTTTAAATTTACTTTAGTGGCTCTATAAAAAAATTTAGTTCATATAATAGATAGGATAATTATGGCCCACCCTACTAAATAATATCCAAATAACCCAAAATTTAAACAATTAAATTCATTTTTAATATTATTAATATCTCAAATTACTTTTAATTAAACAATAATATACCTATTTTATATATTTTTTTATTGCTAAACAAGAATATAACACTAATTTTTAATTTTCAAAAATAATTCATCTTAGTTTCCAACATTACGGAATGGACTATAATTAAAAACAATAAAGCTCTTTTTTCTTTTTGTTTTTATTGTGCTTGCTTTTTTTTGTTCTTTCTTTGTTAATTTATTTAGCTCATCCTTTGATTTTCAAACTTTTACTTTTATTATTAATTAATTAATCTTATTATTTCATATTTTTTCTTCATTTTTTCCTTCTAATTAACTATTTTATGATATATATTTTTTTCAATATTTAAAAAGTTACAATTAAATTGGTGACGAAGGTGCATCATGCTTAGGTTCTGGTTTAGGAAATTGTATTAATCTCTCAAATTTGACACTTAACCTTTGGTAAAAACAGTTTATTTGTTTTGGATTATGATATTTTGAATGATAAAAACTAATTAAAAACAATAAAGCTCTTTTTACTTTTTGTTTTTATTGTGCTTGCTTTTTTTTGTTCTTTCTTTGTTAATTTATTTAGCTCATCCTTTGATTTTCAAATTTTTACTTTATTATTAATTAATTAATCTTACTATTTCATATTTTTTCTTCATTTTTTCCTTCTAATTAACTATTTTATGATATATTTTTTCTTCAATATTTAAAAAGTAGTAATAAAATTGGTGACAAAGGTGTATCAGGCCTAGGTTCTGGTTTAGCAAATTGCATTAATCTCTCAAATTTGACACTTTAACTTAGGTAAAAACAGTTTCTTTGTTTTGGATTGTGATATTTTGAATGATAAAAACTAATTAAAAACAATAAAGCTCTTTTTACTTTTTGTTTTTATTATGCTTGCTTTTTTTTGTTCTTTCTTTGTTAATTTATTTAGCTCATCCTTTGATTTTCAAATTTTTACTTTATTATTAATTAATTAATCTTACTATTTCATATTTTTTCTTCAATATTTAAAAAGTTACAATTAAATTGGTGACGAAGGTGCATCATGCTTAGGTTCTGGTTTAGGAAATTGCATTAATCTCTCAAATTTGACACTTGACCTTTTGTAAAAACAGTTTATTTGTTTTGGATTGTGATATTTTGAATGATAAAAACTAATTAAAAACAATAAAGCTCTTTTTACTTTTTGTTTTTATTGTGCTTGCTTTTTTTTGTTCTTTCTTTGTTAATTTATTTAGCTCATCCTTTAATTTTCAAACTTTTACTTTTATTATTAATGAATTAATCTTATTATTTCATATTTTTTCTTCATTTTTTCCTTCTAATTAACTATTTTACGATATATTTTTTCTTCAATATTTAAAAAGTAGTAATAAAATTGGTGACAAAGGTGTATCAGGCTTAGGTTCTGGTTTAGCAAATTGCATTAATCTCTCAAATTTGACACTTTAACTTAGGTAAAAACAGTTTCTTTGTTTTGGATTGTGATATTTTGAATTTTAAAAACTAATTAAAAACAATAAAACTCTTTGAATTTATTTTATAGTTTTTATTTGTTATGTTTTTATCTTTATTATACCACTAATGCTATTTTATTTATTAATTTAAGAAATATTTTTTAATTTAAAAGTTTATTCTATTTTGATATTTATTTAAAATTTACACAAATTTATTATAAAATATTAGCCAAATCAATGAATCATAAAAATTCAAAGTTATAAGCT